TATATATATATATATATACTATATATACGTATACTATACTATATATATATATATATATATATATATATATATATATATATATATATATATATATATATATATATATATATATTCAGATTGTTTGTAATTTGCTTCAAGAATAATTACTACAAATGATAAAAAAAATGTTTAGAACTTCTATAATAATAATAATTTGAGATGACTAATTTTAAAAATTACAATAGATAATTTGAGACTATAAAATAGTTTGGAAGTTTATATATTTAAGATGAGATTGACTATGAAATTATATATGGCGTGGCAAATTACGTGTCTAGCTTGATGTCATCATCCATTAAGTTTCTTCTTTTATTTAATAGTGCAGGTCGATAGTTTATATCTATGTCATATAAAATATAATTTTGACTTATGTGGAGTAGAATTGTTTTATAGTATAAAGTTTCATGAAGAGTTTGATATTCTTTTTTTTATATATCTTAATTGTGAATTGATTTTAAATTATTTTTTAATAAAATTATGGACTTTTATTCAATTATATAATCATCTCAAACAATTGGAATGGTCTTTTTAATTTATAAAAAAAATGAAAAAATTTCCATATAGCCTAATTTGTACGTAAATATATTTTTATATATTTATATTATGTTAAATTTAATACGTAAATATATATTATAACATTTTTCAAATATAAATGTAACTTAAGTCCTAGACCTCTGGTGACTGAAACTTTGCTCTATAATTGATATTTCATAAAACAAATACAACAAAAAATATGCAAGTACTCCTACTACTTACATGTTTAAGATCAAACAATACGGCAATAAAATTTTATATTTTTCACTTTTGATGAAAAATTGAGATGCTTTTTCAAGAACATACTTGTAGAAAAAATATTTTAATAATTGTATATTTTGAGGTGATGTTATTAAAAAAAATTAATTGTAAGCTGATATCAAAGAAAAAGACTCAAATAATTTTTAAAAATCTAATTTTAATTAAATATTATAAAATATTCAAAAACTTATATAATTTATTAAAAATTACTGTCTGAACTGTCTCATTCACACCCCTACTAATACATCGGTTACATTGACCACTCCATAAGATACAAAACAATAGGCATATCTCCATCTTATTTAATTAGCCTAAAGTATTCACATTCCAGTAGTTATCACTCGTTTTTTAGTATAACGTGAGAATAGTATATTATTAAATCTAAATAAACAATATAGATAATTAAATTAAATAGACAACCAACATGGTTAGTGGTGCATTATTAATAAGAGTATTTCACCTTTAATAAAAATTTCGAGTTTGAATTCTCACAAATCAAATTTAATCAAAGTTCTAAAGCAAATAAATTACGTAACAAGTTTCACAATCTTTCAATTTTGCCTCCTACTCCTATATATATGTGTTTTATTATAG